GTGTGATTAAGAAATTTTAGATTTCATAAAATATGTGATTAAAATTAATATTGACTTTGACTTAAATTTTAATTAATTTTTTTAACTAAACCAAACATGAGCGTTATAGGTGGATAAGATATGAGTGTAGGGTCTCAGTCTACTTTGGGACCTTTTTAGTTTGAAAATAGTGTTTGCCAGTCAATCTAATCTTCTCTGAGACATTTATTCAATTTAGTGAATCTGTGAAACACTGAATTCTTATTTTCAACCACTCTACGAGTACATTCTTCTTTATGAGTTTGACACTTTTCAACATGACATTCATCGAAGTCATTAATTTTTACAATATCCCATAACATTATTGCCCAAATTTTGACACAGATATAGCCCTCGTTTGGCACCCATTTTTTTCTCATTCTCATTTTCATTTTTTTTCTCTTTTTTCATTTCAACCACACATTCTATCAATCAAATAATATTACACATAAACCTAAAAATTCTCCTTACTTTTTAACCACACATTCTTTCATCAATCACTATTCAAAAACACATTCTTTCGCAAAAATGGGTGTCAAACAGCTCCATAGCTTAATTCTCTTATTTTATGAAACAAGTCGTTTTCATCTGAAGTCGATTCGATGAACAGGGCAGCACTGGGCTAACAACCATAATCCATATATTTTGGGCCTGTTTGGTACAGATTTTCATTTTCTACAGTAAATCAATTCTCATTTTCAACCACACATTTTTCAATAAAATAATATTTTCCATCACATCAATACTTTTTTCTTCTTTTTCAATCATAGATTTCCCATNCGTTTTTTGTTTGGTTGCTTGGTGCATTAATTCTTGGTTCAAACTCAAAATCGAGATTATTCTTTGGTCTTGCTTGGGATCTTCAATCTCGTCGTGGGTTATGTAGTGTTCGTTGCTATGTGGTCCTCATCATTTTCCTCACTTTTTAATCACATATTTCTCATCATATCACTATTTAAAATACATTCTTTCCTCAATAATATGCATCAAACACCACATGAGTACCTTTTCTTAGCCACTGTTTGATTTAGATAAAAATTACATTTTTAGTAAAAAATTTTAAAATTTGATAATATGTATAATTGAAAACTTTTAAATTTCGTAAAATATATGTATAAAATTAATTATTAACTTTGATTTAAATTTTCATCGAAATTTTTCCAAGAAAAAAACATGAGCTTAATAAATGGAGGAGATAAAGTGTAGGGTCTCACTATATTTAGGGCTACATTTGATTTCAATATCAGGAGTCTGTTCTTGTTTATGTTGGAGACGACATGTAATCTTGACAAGATTTGATGGGAGTGCTAAGTGCATACCTTTTTAGTTTGAAAATAATGTTTGCCAGTCAATCTAATCTTCTCGAGACATTTATTCAATTTAGTGAATATGTAAAACACTGAATTCTTATTTTCAATCACTCTTAAGTGTACATTCTCCTTTACGAGTTTGAAATTTTTCAACATGACATTCATCAAAGTCATTAATTTCTACAATATCCCATAACATCATTGCCCAAATTGTGACACAGATATAATGTAACCAACAATATATACATAGCTTAATTCTCTTATTTTATGAAACAAATTATTTTCATCTGAAGTCGATTCAATGAACAGGGCAGCAATGGGCTAACAATCCTAATCCATATATTTTGTAAGACGGAGTAGGTATACTTTTCATGGCGCATGCAAAATGATGCCACTCTGACTCTGAAAGATATACATTCGAATAATACCTAGACCATAGTAGCACACGTTAACTTTCTTATCTTCAAATTTGTAAATACCAAAACAGTAAAACCTAGTTAAATTAACAATATGTTTCTATTATTCGTTTCAGACCAGTTTTGCCAATCAATCAAGACTTACTACAGGCAATTTTAAACATCATTCTGACCGGCACACTATAATAGACAAGTGTTTTACGAGACATAATCAATTGCGAAAATAAATAAAATTGAACACAAGATATACGTTGTAAACCCGTAAGATAAACATCTACGGGTAAAATAATTCACTATCAGAGAATAAAAAATACAATAATTTCGATTTTGTAATTTCACAAAATTGACAAAAACAATCAAAATTAAATAAAGATCAATTCCCTCGTTTTCTTTCTTTTTTTAACTTGTTAGAGAAGTGGAATCAAACAGTCCGACGTTAACTTTATCATCACTTGACTATTCTATTCGGCCACAACCACTACTTGAATTAAAATTCACCAATCTATACAACTCATCCGCTCTAAGGCATCAATATAGGGCAAGACACCGCCTATGCAGAAGCCATCACAACAAATAAGGGGATAACACTATACTAAAATAATTTCAATACAATTTTGCTCATAGACAAAAATTGATAACATTTCTCATATGAAATGGACTATGCATGAAAGCGCAGTTAGATTAGTTTTGGGTTTCAGCTGAAGCTTGAATCGAAATAAGAATAACAGCCCATTCATTTTAAAAGTCCATCAAAGCATAACAAAGAAGAGAACAAACTTTTTCACAATCCAGAAAAATTAGTGGGAGACATCTCTAAGAATTTAAATATTTTACAATCATCAATCAATCTCCTCCTAGTAACACTCGAGAAGAAATGATAGAAGATAGAGTATCAAATCACGGACAAAGTGGTAACTAACCCTGCAATGTTGACAATGTCATCGACTTGATATCTTGGATAAGTAGGTCTAGATTTTTATACGAACACCCACCTTTATTCACACTTGCCTTCGCCACGTTTGCAATGCTATCAGCCCTTTCCAAAAATTCTTCCTTCTTCGAGTCCATAAGCTCCTTAATCATCCTTTCAACTGTCACTCTGTCGCATGTATCTTTCATGTCCAAACCAAGCTTCCAAAACTCTCCCACATACCTACTATTCACCTGCTGGTCAACATAATGTGGCCAGCATATCATTGGCTTCCCCTCCACCATACTCTCCAATGTCGAGTTCCATCCACTATGGGTCAAAAACCCTCCAATTGCTGGGTGGGCTAAGACCTCCTCTTGTGGAGCCCAACTCACAATATACCCTCTCTCTTTTGTAGCTTGAGAGAAGTCCATGGAAATCTCAAATTCTTTCTCCAATCCAACAACTGAACCCGGCCTTCGGACCCATAAAAATCTCGTTCCACTGTTCACCAAACCATACCAGATTTCCATGAGTTGTTCNNNNCATACCAGATTTCCATGAGTTGTTCTTTGGTCATGACTGCTAGACTTCCAATGCTAACGAATAAAACAGATTTGAGGGGTTGCATATCGAGCCAGGGGATACAACTCCTGTCTTCTTTCAAGATACTGTTTGATATGGTTCCCGTCCCGAGTCTTGTTTTAACGTGAGTGTGGAGCGGCCCAACGGCATAGATTTTTGGACAGATTTTGGACATTTCTGATAATATGGATGCATCGAGTTCCTCAAATGTATTCAAAATCAGCCCTTGGGCCAACGGAAGGTTCTTGTTCTCCTTTAGAACTGATTGGATATTAGGATCATTAAGGTCCTTGGTGCGATAAAAGCCAGGAAGATCCCGGCGCCTTAGAAAACCTTCGTTTCCTGGTGCAATAACAACAATCTCGTCCAAGTCATCCCCTGTGCCAAATCATCATAAACAGAGTTATCTAACTTGATTTATAAAGAAGTTAATTCTGGTTTTGACTTCCCTTGAAAGAGTAGGCAAAAGTAAAACACACCTTTGAAAGGAAACTCCCCAGCTTCAATCAGTTTGGGAAGGCAGAGATAAGTCCATAGACTACAAGGGCTAATAGTATCGAAATAAAGGAGTGGAACCCCAATCTGTTTAGCAATATCAACTGCAAAGCAGAATACTCCCTCGGCCACTATACAAGTTATTGGGTTCTCAGAGTTGGAACCATAGGGACCAGAAGTTACCATTTCCTGAAATAGTGGCACACCCACAGCTTTCATAGAATCCAACATCTCGAAAAATTCATTGGCTGTGCGGGGATTGTCTTCGGGAAGGCCATCGGGCACTGTTTCAAAACGAAAATTGGGATAGCGTTGAAAATATTTTTCAACATTAGTGAAGTTTGATAAACAACGTTGGATGTGTTGTGTGTTTAGGAAAGTGACTTGCAGGCCATTAATACAGAAGAGCTCTGCAAGTTTTAGCATACACTTGACTGGCCCTTGAATTGGTAAGGGGAATATGAAGACATGAGGAGGCAATGCCGATGCTCTTTCATAATCCATTTTGGGTAAGAACTGAACTCTTATCCCCACCTTCCCCCTTTTATTTCTAAAGCTCATTTCTACATTTTTTTTTAATTATTTTTCCTATATGAGAAAGCCAAAGTCTTAAATTATAAATAAACAATTGATGACAGATCATAGGAGTCAATAAATATTTGTGTTGCCTAGTGAAGTGCAAATTTTTATGTTAAAAAATTGTGTTTGCCAGTCTATAGAATCTTTTCAACCAAGTGGCGCATAAAACACCGAAACTCACCTGCCCAATGCCTAAATAGTTATCTGAGAAAACAATATTTTAAATAGTTATTTTTAGAAGAATGTAGTATTAAAATGTAGAAGAAAATTTGGGTTTAAGTATAAAATATTTTATTGTATAAACATATAATTGGAAAAAAAAAAAAATTATATATATATAGGTTCCAATGTTTTATGACGGATAATGGGGCTAACTGCCATAATCCATATATTTTGTTCGCTTCTATGTTGTTTTCTGAGACAGAAGGTTTGAATTTACATGAACATTGACATGCATGCAAAATGAGGCCACTTCGTCTCTTTCCTAGATACATATAATTAAATGGGATAATTGCAGTAGCGGTACCAAATCTTTCATTTAATAGCAGATTTTGTCCAAACTTTTCATTTGCGCCACACATGGTACCAAACATTTCGAAAACTAGCAGTCAGAGTCCAATTTAACATAAACTGTTAATATGACCGTTAGTTGATCAAAAATTGACATTGACCATAATTTTGCCGAATTTTACAAGGTTAAAATGGTAAATTAATATTTTTTATAATAAAATAATTAAAATCAAAAACCAAAAAGAAAAAAAAAACTACATCTTTTCCACTCACCCCCACATACCCACCCTACCCAAACCCAAAACCAAAACTAGGACCTAGGCATTTCTCGATCATCGCCACCCACCCCATCGACTACCATCGCCCCGATTACCACTTCTATCTGTAATAATCAATGAAACACCAATTGAAATACTATCGCCATAGCTACAACCACAACAAGAACCCACTAACACCACTATCACAGTCCCACAGCAAGAACCCACCAACACCCACCACCAACCAAAGAGCAACAGAAGAAGGGCTTGCTAGATTCAAACCCAACAACTTTATCACAATAAGCAAGTCCAGATGGAGTTACAGTGAACTCATAGGCACCAGAGTCATAACCTAATGCCCATTGTTTCTTTTATGCTCAATTCATTTACTTGTACGATTTGAGAGTGAGGTTTATATTTTGGGTTAGAGGTTTTGATAGATGGAACGGTAGTGCCGTCGAAAGATGAAATGGCACAAGTGGGTTTTTGGAAGGGGATTTTGTGCTATTGGTAAGCATTGGAGTGGTGGTGGAAGAAGTAGTGGCATCGACGTGGGGTGGTGGCGCCGACAGCAATCTCTGGTGGTTTTAGGGTAAGGGGGTTTGGGGGAAAAGGGGATAGTGATGGGTGGTGTGTTTGATTTTTCATATTTAATATTATAATTGTGTTTTTTATTGAAAAAAATGCAAATTTACTATTTTAATCTTGTAAAATTTGTCAAAATTATGTTCAATGTGAATTTTTCGGTCAACTAGCTGTCAAATTAACAATTTCTGTTAAATTGGACTCCAATTGCAAGTTTTTGAAATGTTTGGTACCGTGGATGGCATAAATGAAAGGTTTGGACAAAATTTGCTACTAAATAAAAGTTTTGGCACCGCTACTGCAATTATTCCTAATTAGAATTATATCTATGGACAAAAAAACTTTAACTAATCCTTAAAACCATGAACATAAAACAAGTGTTAGTCATAAAAAGAATTGCAGGAGAAAGGTTTGGTCGATATGCCAAACCTATTGTATAGCATGTATGATATAGAAACTATGTAGACATACAATTTGTATCTTACAGCTAGATCGATCTATGGACCAAATATAGAACCCATGCTATATGTACAAAGATTAATAAAGAGGAAAATATATTAGACATCTATATGTATAATGCTGGAATTCCTATATTGACTCATCAGTCACTGCACAATTAGTGTGAGTTGCAGATGAGGAGGATCTGATATGTCTGACTTAACTGTCCATGTAATACTGCAAGGATTGAATATCAGTCACATTTTCAAGGGAAATTCTCCAGCCTGAATGAGTTTGGGAAGGAAAAAAAAGATCCAAAGGCGACCAAGAACTTATTATCTGGACTTGATCCAAAGGCAATCCAGTGCTTTTTTTTTTTTTTTTTGCTATATTAAGGTTACTCAAGAGTTACTTGAACTTGCGTTAAACACCACACACTAAGTTGAACCAAGGTGTGAGAACACACTTGTTAAATCAAAGGCAAACTAATATAGGTTATGATGATGCCAAAATTCGTACCTGGGCCCGAATTGGATGGAAGAGCTCCGCTTGATCCGATCTTCAATTCCTAAAATAAAGGCGTCGAGGTGTGTCCTCGTCGCCCCTCCGATACTTAAGTCACACAAGTGTGCAAGAAGAAATATGCTGGAATGTTATGAAAAACATACCTGAATAATGAGGCTAGGTTATGTATTTATAGATGTCGAAGGGGGAGTCCTGTAAGGACTTAAATTCCTGTAATTCTAGTTATTTTATGTGTTTGCATTGTGTTAGAAGTGCACAATTTGTATTAGGGTAAAATTTGTAATGAACTAGGAGTTTATACTTAAGTAGGACTAGTATTTCTAGGCCCGATGATGCAGGGGGATCCGAGCCAGATGAGGCTGAGCTGTCTGATAGTTCATTAATGGTGCTGAGATACCATGAGT